AAAAAAAAAAAAAAAAAAAGGAGGGAAGGACAGGCAGGACATAATGTGGATTGGAAGAACCAAGAGAGCAGAGGGAGGTGGCATCTCTAAATGTCATTGATTAGGGAGCCTCACTGAGCGGGTGAAATAGAAGCAAAGACTTTAAGAAGGTGAGGGCACCACACAAGAGGTGCATTCCAGGCAGAGAGGACTGCAGGACATAGCTCCCAGAGTGGAGGAATACCGGAGGTGTTCAAAGAACAGCAAGGATAGGATGGCTGGGACAGAATGAGTAAGATGAATGTCAAGCACTGGAGAACCATACAGACTATAAAAATTGGGGCTTTTACTTTGAATGAGATTGGAAGCCAAGACAGGGAAGAATGCCATGACATGAGTTATTTTTGAAAGATAAGATCCTAGTCCAGGGTTTCTGAATGACAGCAGCAAACATTTTGGGCCAGATCATTCTTTTTTGGATAAGGTGTATATTTAAGTCATTTCCAAAATTTTGTTATTATACAAAACGGCAATAAAAATCTTTTTTGCAAAAATTTTTCTTTTGTTTATAATGATTTCCTAAGCACTGAAATGTACATACAAAATCAGATATTATCATCAATTTTAATGCTTACTGCAAACTGACCAGAACAGCAAACTCTCCAAAAACATTTGTATCAATGTGTATTTCCAGTAACTATACATGAGAGTATCTATTTCAACTGCTCTATTCTTTGCCAACATTGGATACTATAGTGTTTTACAAAAAAATTTTGGATGTGGTAGATAAGAAATATTATCTTACTGCTATTTTAATTTGTATTTCTTTGACTACTAGGAAGCACTTTTCTATATATCTGTTAAGCAGTTGCAATTCTTCATAGGTAACTTTTTTGTTCCTGGATACAGGGTTCCCTTATTTTGTGGTATAAATTTTCATGTTAAAAAGTTTGTATACATACACATACACTAATCCTCCAGCGGACCCATTGTTTGAAAATATTTTTCTGGATTTGCAATTGATCTTTTAATTTGGGTTAATTTATTTATACACATTATGGAATCAAAATTAAGAATCTTCCATTGTGACTCATTCATGCTCACTGTATACAAAGCAAGGATTCGAAGTTGATTCACAGAACTCCCTGTACTATAGCTAAGCCAAAAAGACAGTGGAAGCACTAAGGAAGATATAGGTAGTTCCACACTAAAAGGGCTAAAGGGGTAATAAATTTGCATTAAAAAACACGTTTTGGGAGGGGAGGATCCAAGATGGCCGAATAAGAACAGCTCTGGAGTGCAGTTCCCAGGGAGAACAATGCAGAGGGTGAGTGATCACTGCATTTCCAAACAAGTTGTTACTGCCCACAGACCAGGAGATTCCCGGCCGAAAAGCTCCACAAGTTTCCAGCACAGCTGTTTCAGCTGGGGCCACAGGTTTCAGCACAAAAACTCACACAAACCTGGGCAGCTGTTTCAACTGGCGCCTAGAATGCCTGGGAGACAGAGCCGCCCATTCAACTGAAAAAGAGGGGGCTGAAACAGGGAGCCAGGTGATCTGTCTTGGCAGGTCTCACCCGCCACAAAGACCAGCAATCTAAAACACTCTGGATTGAGAGTCTAGCAGTAAGCACAGCTGGACCCAGGATGGTCCAGCTCAGTAGGGGGATGGGCATCCACCATTGCTGAGGCAGTCCGCCATTGCTGAGGCAGACCGCTATTACCAAGGCAGTTGTAACTGTACCTCTGTAAACAAAACCACAAGGAAGTTTGCACAGCAGCAGGGGAGAGCCTGCAGCAGCTCAGCAACACCTCTGTTGGCAGATTGTGACTAGACTACCTCCTTGCTGGGCAGGGCATCTCTGAAAAAAGGCAACAGCACATCAGGAACTTATAAATAAAGCCCCACCTTCCCAGGACAGAGCCCCTGGGAAAAAAGGCAGTTATGAGTTCCACTGCAGCAGACTTAAAGGTACCTACCCAGCAGCCCTGAACAAACAACGGAGCTCCCAGTACAGTACTTGAGCTCCTATAAGGGACAGACTGTCTCCTCAAGCAGCTCCCTGATCCCTATATATCCAGAGAGACATCTCATAAAGGAGAGCTCAGGCTGACATCTGGCGGGCACCCTTCTGGGACAAAGATAACAGAAAAAGAAACCAGCAGCAACCCTTACTGTTCTGCAGCCCCCACGGGTGATCTCCAGGCAAGGAGGGTCTGGAGTGGACCTCCAGCAGTCCTGCAGCAGAGGGGTCTGTTAGAAGGAAAACTAAAAAACAGAAAGAAATAACTTCAACATTAACAAAAAACACATCCACTCAAAGACCCCATCCAAAAGTCACCAACTAAAAAGACCACAGGTAGATAAATCCATGAAGATGGGAAGAAACCAGCACAAAAAGGATGGAATCACCAAAAACCAGAATGCCTCTCCTCATCCAAGGATCGCAACTCCTCACCAGCAAGGGAACAAAGCTGGATGGAGAATGAGTCTGATGAATGGACAGAAACAGGCTTCAGAAAGTGGGTAATAACAAACTTCTCTAAGTTAAAAGAACAGGTTCTAACCCAATGCAAAGAAACTAAGAACCTTGAAAAAAAGTTAGATGAAATGCTAACTAGAATAAACAGCTTAGAAAAGAATATACACGACTTGATGGAGCTGAAAAACACAGCTTAAGAACTTGGCAAAGCATACACAAGTTTCAGTAGCCGAATCGACC